ATAGGGCAAAAAAAAAAAAGGGGGGGGGGGGGGGGGGGGGAGCTTTGAGATGAACAGCAATAAAGTAAATGAGTAAAAAAGAGGATACAAGAAAAAGATAGATAAGACAAGGAAACATCAAGCACTCCCAGCACACAGACTGCACGAAACTGAACGCTAAACCAGTAAAAGTGGTACAATCCTAATCTCCTAAAAGTGATTGTGTACATGAGGATGTGTGTATCAGAGAGAGAGAGATGGGTGAGGGGGATAAATGTGTGCGCGAGTGTGTGAATTTGGCAGTGATAACTGACTCGGAACGCACGACTGCAATGTTCTTCCTGAGGTGACTGAAAACTGTCACCATTGGCACCTAAAGCGCTCTCTCTCGCTCTCTTTGCTCCACTCTACACATCAAGGACAGACACGGCAGAGTGAAGGAAGAAGAGTAGCGTTAACTCTCTCTCACCCTCCTCTTTTTCTCTCCCTTCATCTTTCTGTTTTCTCCTCTCCATTGTTCTCATTCATCATTCTTGTTCTTCTCCCACTCTCTTTTACCCTCTCTCGCTCTCTTTCCCTCACTCGATTGCACTCGCTCTCCCTCCCTTACTTGTTCTCCCATGAATGTCACCTTTACTGGTGGTAGCCGCTGGATTTGCACACACACCCACATACACACACGCTTGCTGGCTTTGGGGTGGGGGGGGGCAATGTAGGGCTGTGGGGAGAGACAGCGCGTGCCAGAAGAGGCAGAAGGGAAATTTCTCGGAGTCCATTCTTCTTTGCCGGCTCACGTCCTGCGACTCAAGGCTTTGTCCATCCCAGCAGCTGAAGCAGAAGTGCCTCTGGACCTGGGAGCGCTGGATTACCGCTCCAGATTATTATTATTTCCCCCCCAGCACAACTAAAGTTAGCCATAGGAAATACAGGCTGACCATCTGCCTATTTCTGACAGGATCTGTTCCTGATTTGAGTCGAATAATTCTGCTGCTGGTGAGTGAAGAACTTTCCACGAGGACCAGCCATGTGTGGGTGAGAAAGCTCATCGTTTCTGTGTGCTAAACTTTAGCTTTGTTTAGTGTTTTTGTCTTCAGGAACAAGACACAAGGGGAGGGGAAGGGAGAAGGGGTGGGGGAGCAAATATGTCGGCAATGTCGCAACAATGACTTTGTCAGCCTCTTTCTGTACCTTTTTGTGGAAATGTGACCGCGTCGATTTTCATTTTATGGATTTGTTGTGGTGTCAATATGTATTTAGCGAAACAAACATAATGAAGGACAAACCATGGACAGGTTGTGAGTGGACCAGAACTTAACCTCTTCCCTTACTGGAGGGAAACACACGGACACGTGAGGAACCTACCTGAATTCTTGGTTCGCCGTGCAAGGTTTGACCCCTGACTTTTATCTCTTTGTGCTGCTGGTAAAAAGACAAGAGCATCCAGAGAGCGTCTCTTAAGCAAATAGAGACCCCCCTCCCAAAGGTGAGAGGGGGGGGGGAAGATGGCAGCTCTTGCCAGTTCTCTCATCAGACAAAAACGGGCAGTCAAGGATGACCAAGCCAACCGGCCAATAGCCAACAAACGCAAGCCTTGCCCCAAGAGCAACAAGTCCCTTTGCCAGAAACAAATTCTTGTTCTCATATCAAAAGTACGGTTATGTGGCGGCCGCAGAGGAAGAACAGAAAAAAGACCAGGTAGGTTAATTTATAACTTTTCTTTTTTAACCACTCTTAACTGGTGGAACCAAATCCACCAATTTAAGAAAAACGAAATGTAACTACTTTCTTGCAAAACAGCAGAACGAAAAATGTTTTGACCTAAAGTTTCAAACTGATGTCATTCTTCTTGGCTTCTCCATTGACACTTCACAGTCGCACGCGAGTTCAAGCTGTTTGTGGTACAAATGTAAGGATACAATGCTGAAATTCAGTCTGGTCTGAAAAACAGTTGTCAATGTAAAGCAATGCTCCATAGGTTACATAAAGGCGAAAACCACTAAGCTCATTAAGTTGCAACATTATGGGATTTATTCAGACTTTTATAAGGGAGGAAGGGGATTGACTGCTATTTTATGACATGGACAGAGCCGGAAGAGGCAAGCCCTTTAAACGGTGTGATTTACAGTCTTTCAAAGCGTCCCACAAACATAGGCTATTCTGGGTTGCCTTAAGACCTGCCCTTAGGATGCTAATTATTACCCCGAGACATCATCTCTTCTATGTTCACACATGGGCAAGCATGTCTCCATATTAATATTTAATTTAAACTGTTTCATAAAAGATTGTTACTCAGTGGTGCCATGAAATTGGAAGTTGGACTCCGGCCATGTTTTAGTTCCGGTAACCTTGCCACTGGCCAAACAGAAAAGAAAAAAAACCCCAGCATGCTCTCTGATTACAGCACTGATACTGAGACAGAAGCTCTGCGATTGTTATGCCAACCTACAGGGCAAAAATGCAAAACACCAGTGTCCACAACTCTGACTACCAGTTTTATTGCAACAAGAACAACTCTGTTTGGTGTCACTGCCATTGGTTGTGAGTTTTGTGATATCTTTTGATAAAGATGGGGGACCAAATGCTTATGACATTGTGCAATTGATGCCACAGCCTTATAGACTACATAATGAATAAAATAACTGTCAATGTAAAAACTAAATGAGAGAGAGAAGGGATAAAGAGATAAGTCAGTGAGGGAGTGTGTGAGTGTTTGAGAGTGAGAGAGAGAGTGGGTATTTTGTACGTAAACGAAAATGATTATAGTCAGGGATATTAATCTGCCTCTTTATCCGCCTCTTTTACCAATGAACATGAAATGCACGACACTGCAATCATCAGAAAAAATATGGGTATAAACAGAAATTAATGTGAAAGGGAGAGTACGTGTGCATGTATTTTTATGATAAGTAACACTGATTGCCTGTCCTGCTCCTGGGACCATATTCTGTAATATTTACAATCCTTTAATATAGTACCTTTAGCATAATGTGATTTAGAGACATACTGAAATGCAAATATATTTTCACACATGCAAACACACAAAAACTGGCTCAGGAAATGACATATAATATTGCATTGCTAGCATAGGTGATATTTCTGCTTCAGGTCTTTCCTTATCCTAACACTTACATCTAATCCTGCTTCAAATATTTGAATCCCCATGCTTGTTTAGACAAGTGTATTCTTGTTAGTGCTGATTTAGTGCTTATCTACCAGGGGTTAAGGTTTGGATGGTTAATATGGCCTGTTAGCCTTTGCTGGTACTTTTCAGCGAGGAAGTCCTTCTGAATACCTCAAGTTGTGACATGCGAGTTGTGCTTCAAAATTCAATCCATAGCACTGTGGGTGAACTGAAGTGGCCAAAACTTGACAAATTAGTGGGCGTCACCTAGCCACAGCAGTGTGGGTTCATGGGATCACTGCTGCATGGTCAGGTCAGTGATCCATATACATCCATCATAACAATGTCAAGCCCCCTGCTGTACCTGCAACACCCTTCACATCTGTCTCACGCACACCTGTCTCCCTGAGTCTCTGGTTTAGGATGGGTTCCCTTGCTGCTCTAAGATGGCGTCGTGGTCTCAGACCCTCTGAGGTCGGCGCTGAGTCTACTGGTCTCTCAATCGATGCAGCTCGTTAACGTATACTGATTAATCAATGATCACCCTCTCTGTTTTCCCAGTGCCCAATTTCACGCAAGGTGGAGATGGTATAGAAACGTAAACCACACACACACACACACACACACACACACACACACACACACACACACACACACACACACACACCTCTTCTCTTAATAGCAGAGGCTGTTTTACACCTTCACAGTTTTATGGAGCACTTGGCTTCTGCAGAGAGTTTGGCTTTATTCAACAACAAATCTCCTTATAGAGGAGGAGAGAGACAGAGCTAGAGAGAACCTATTATTATCAGCAAAGGTGCAAGAAAATCCCTCACATAGGCTAGTCTCGAATTCTATATGAATGAATAATCAAAGTCAAGGCAATAGCTGGGAGCAACATCTGAAATCAGCGTCTAAAGTAAATATTAAAGATGGTATCTTCCCTAACACTAGAAACTCTTACCACAATTATCATGATCTTATTTAATAAATGAATCCAACTAAGGCTCAAGTTCACCTGTCAAATCCTATTTATCTGACTTTGGTTTTGAATGTTTTATTTTTAAGAAGACAACAGTGGAAACAGCATCTGGAGCTGAACCTTCAGATGACTTACCATTAATATCTCCAGAGCCCCACATGATAAGAATGTGTGCAGTGCAGAGTGACTATTGCAGTGTATGGAGTGATGGCCAACTAGATGCCCAGTGCAGTTCTGATCACCGCACAGACTAATCAAAGTCACTCTCAAAATTAAGTTGTGAATTCTGAAAGTGTAAGGAGTAAATTTGGTTACAGAATGTGGACTTCACTGTCATTAATAAACAAACTGTGTGTGAATGTAACTATATTTAATCACACTAAAACGGACAACTGGCAGATAACCATTTTCTATTGCTGGGTAAACACAGCCTTAGAGTTCCAGTGCACTCCATTAGGGTGGGAAATTAACAACTGTCACCAGCCAAGTGAGATTTTTTTCACAGTTGTGGGTGGACCAGCTCTGTGGTGGGAAACATTTAAGATAGCTCACACTGGCCTTGGGGGAAAAAATGCTGTTGCTACATAGTACACTTGTTTATGTGTACATTCTGATTAGATCAATGTTCAGGGTGCAAGCAGCCTATAATGTATGTTTTCTTTTAAAGAGTCAATTAATATGAGATTACAGCTGTCAAGATTTAGTGATTTCTGCTAAAAATGAAGTGCCTTGTTTGAATCTGAGGGAAAAAAGAGAAATTAATGGTGAACATACTATTGAAACTGAAAGAAAAGCTAATTTCCTGTCCTGCATACAACCTTCAAAATTTAAACTGACATTTAAAAAGAAGAAAAAGAGTTAGGAGGTCTGCAGATGTGTAGCAAGGGTAATGTAGTAGTTCTGCTCGCTGGGTTTGGTCTAAAGGAGCTGCTCAGGGCACGAGGACGTGGCACTGGAGGAGGACAGCATTAAGCTGACCGCTGAAGATGGGCTGTCTATCTTGCTTACTCAACAACACCTGATCACACTGCACAGTGTTAGGTAGCCTCTCATCCGAGTACTGAGAGTGCCAGGGGTCAGAAAGAAAGAGTGAGTGAAAGAGAGATAGGAAGAGATAGTAATGTGGAGAGGAAGGAAGTAAAGGAGAGATGGAAGAGGTGGAGGAGAGGAAGGAAAGGAGAAAAAGGAAAGACAAAATTGAGTCACCGCAAAAGACAGAAGGACAAGGAAGAGAGAAAATCACTGATGATTAAGCAAAAATGTACATTAATTTTGTCAATTTGACAAAAATCAAAACATTAAAATTGACAGCCTGTACTTTTACTGCAAGTTTTTGTTCATTTTCTTATATTAAAATATGAGAAAACACTGTATCTTATTTTAAAAGAGCATTCAGGGTTCAGGTGCTTATGCTATGCTTAAGTTCTATGAACATGCTATTGATTACTGCTGTAACACCTGGATAAATCAGACACACAATTATTTGTTATATTTTACAAATAATCCAACAGACCCCCTCACCCAACAATCAGACCAGATGCTGTGATGTCTGTGAACAACCCCCCAGACCACTGGTTACCATGGCAACCAGGACACCTCAGCCAGACCAGATAAACTTTACAACCTAATGACATGTCGAAAGATTCTCCCTCTTACTTAATTCCCTCTGAAACAGACACATACTGCCTATAAGGACTCCTTTCATTAATTCGTAGACAAACCTTTCTTTGTGTGTGTTATCACTGTTCTTTATATTGTTCTAAATTGTTTTTTGTATTGTATACTATTTTATGCATTCTTATGATAGAATCACTAGTTAATGTAACATCACCTATACCAAGCTGGTATCTACAAATTCGTATTTTGATTATCTAAATGAAAGTGTATATGTTGATACCCATGCAACATGTTAGTGTTCTAAGAATTGTTAATAGTTTTTGCATCAACACCCAAACCATTTACATATGCAAGACACAATGTTCAAAGACAAAGAGTCACCATTGGCTCAACGATCCCCTGGAGGTGTGACCTCCATAGAACTTAAAAGGCCTCACATCAGTGCCCTCGCTATTCTCTATTTTCTTTGGCGTTCTTACCCTCTCGTCTCTCTGACATCCGGTCTGACTGCGACCCACGGGACCTCCCACACGCCCGCAGGACCAGCCATGTTGCGAATTTCCACCTGGGAGACCACCACTGAGTCAGAATAACATCTTTGGAGTTGTCACTCTTCAAACCCGGTAGAACGTGATCGCAATTCCAACATCACCAAGCCTTTAAACCATCAAGACTTTCATCTGAGACTGCATCTAAACATTCATTCAATGGCCAAGGCAATACAAGTATCGTACATTTAACTAAACAAAACAGAGGTTTAGTATAAGCTGTAGACCACGTTAAGAGCGCTGTTTCTTCTCTGACTCATTTTCCATGCTGCAGAGCTGCATTCTCTGGTTTCGCTAACGGTTTCATTAATCCACTTTAACTCCCCTGTGTATGCGTGAGTGTGTGAATATTTGTTAGACTAGTTTGTGTTAGTGTTTAGTTAATAAAACTTTTGTGCACAAAGTACACGAGTTTCTGATTCTGGAT